CTTCCCCCTCCCCCACTCCCTCCGACCCCACGCCCCGCCGGTCGCCGTCGCGACGCCCAGGAAGACGGTAGTGCTGGCAGCCAGACGGACAGCAGACCACGATGGGTTGCCTAACCATCGGCGCAGCAGAAGCACTGACGTAACTTGGAGGGACTTGAAGCTGTCTCCCGGTCTGCCCCAGCTCCGCTTTCAACCCGGAGACATCAGCGTGGTGGCACCGCGCGTCTTGTTGCAAACGTACTACCGGGGGGCCACGGACACCAGCGGACACCAGTCCAGCAGGGAGAAGTATGGTCGTCTCCCCGTCCTTTTATTCGCCTAGAGAGAAGGGGGAGGGGGCTTGCTGTAGGAAAACGGAGCACAATGCGTATATAAATTGACGATCTAGTCGAGCTCCTCGGGCAGCCAGCAGCGGCCCGCTCCGCCCGCTCCCCCGGCCGGCACATACATCCACCAATTCCCTCCTCCCCTCTTCCATCCTTCCACTCAACCACAGCACAGCCTGTATCCATCGAATACACCATGGTTTGACATTTGACAAGATAGTTCAATCCCCCCTCCCCTTACCCCCATTCCCGCTCTTGCCCCTCTGGACACAAACGCATTCACTTTATTGGTAGAGTATCCCCTCCTCAGCTTGCCGTCCCTCCGCCTCCGCGCCCTATCGTGTTGAGGCCGAGCCCGTCTGGACACAAGGGCCTCCGGCACGACGCGACGGGGTGTTCGAGGGCGAGCAGCAATACAGCAATACAACATTAAAGGCCAGGTTTTTCAAAATTATTTTCGAGACAGGCGACAGGCCTTAAAATCGTTAACAGTCAGCTATTAGGTGCCGTTGCAGACAATCCCAACCTCACCTCCTTTTCCTGATTTGTCCACAAAACGCGGGTAGGAAACATGGGCACATGAAGCGCACGCACGGGCTCATGTCTCCCAAATCGCCGGGATGTGGCCGTCGGTTCGACGTCGAACCGTTGACGTTGTAACCGAGCCCTTCCCTTCCGTGCCCCCTTCCTCCTCCCCC